AACTCTGAAAGTTCAACTGGATCAAAGCAGTCTAAACCCAGTTCAGATTCTATGGTTAGTCAGATACTGCCTCACCTTCCAGAGATAAACCAATTGTAGGTAGAGGTGTGCTAATGATCTAATTTTTAATAAAATCAATCTTATTTATAAAGAATCCCATAAAATCATTACTGCTAAAAGCAGGTGGGATGGACAGTTCAACAGAGCTATGTCTCTGTGTGAGTTTGGGAACTGCTTTTAAAAAAATATCCAGGATTATTCTTATTTTCCTCTATTAATTAGGAAAAATCCCCATTGTGATTGCAGGCATGTCTGGAGAACAGGCCCGCATTTAGTCTATATTTAGACTAAGGTAATGTGGGTCTAGATGCAGCCAAGCTAAAAACAATAACTTCTCATTGATCAATCAATCAACAATCAAACCCCAGCAACAGTGTGATAACGCGTTTCCCAGATAGCAACAGCAATAATAAAAATGGTTTGAAATTATCATGTTCTATCCTACACATGCAGAGTTTGCCAGTGGTGCATTAGACAACATGGTCCTCTGGCATTTGTACTTGGGCCTCCTATGCATCACTCAAATGCTTGCATGATTCTGTAGTTTGTTATTTGTATTGTCTTACAGTGCATTTATTTTATTTTTGTATCAGTGTGTTTTACATTTTTTTTGAAGAACCTAACAAAATACAAAACCATATTAAATGATATGAAAGATCCAGATGCTTACGGACATAGTATATGCTTCCTGCAGTCTCTTCTTGCTCTGAATAACACAGTAAATTCAGACCAAATGCCACTAAAACAGATTGTGCTTTCAGAGGCATTCATGGAATTTCAGACCTCATTAAATCTAAAAAAGAAAGCAAAACTATGTAGCTCCAGGACAGCATAAATTCACTGAAGGTAAGATTAACCGGAGATGCTGTCACAGGCTTTCCTTGCATGTCCAGCTTTAAACCTTAACAGCAGATAAAACCACATTTGAAAAGGAATATGCAGAGAAGAGATTTCAGAAAAAGTTTTGTTTATGAGCTCATATGGCCGTTCCTTGCTTCTGTTAAGTTGTTATGGCTGTGAGAGATTAGATGATAATATTGCACAACACTATGTGGACTGTGGTTGTGTGTAGATAATGGGCTGATTCTGTGATTTAGAAACTTTAGCAGGTTTGTGTTTCCTTTCCTCATTTTACCATAAACTACCTACATTATCTCTGATCAGCGAAGCACCGCGTCATTCAGAGAAAATCATTTCCCAGGCAGATGGAAGCAGCTCGGGCCTGTGAAACTATGATACCTTCTTTCAACAGATAACAAAAAGTCTAAGCAGTATGTCCAGCAAGTATTATTCATTATCATTGTTGCAGATCCCAGTGACATATTGTAACTTGACTGTAACATATAATGTAACTTCACTGCCTCGTAAGACGAAATATTTTACATTACAATTCCATTAATCTCTATACACAACTTTAAATAATCATTAAACAGGAACAGACAAGATGAAGCTACTATAATGAGAAATAGCAGAGACAGCATAATGATAGAGATTTAACTAACAAATACTGCAGAACTCGAGTATAGAGATAGAATGGAGCAGGACAATCAAAAGGGGTCCCTATGTCCTCCAGCAGTCTAAGCCTATAGCAGCATAACTATAGAGATAGCTCAGGATAATCTTTATCAGAAAGGAAAGTTTTAAGCCTACTCTTAAAAGTAGACAGGGTGTCTGCCTCACGGACTGAAACTGGTAGTTGATTCCACAGGAGAGGAGCCTAAAATATCTTTCTCCCATTCTACTTTTAGAAATTCTAGGAAACTAGTAAACTAAAAAGCGAAGTGCTCTGTTAGGAACAAAAGAAACAATTATATCTCTGATATAAGATGCTTGGCCATTTAAGGCTTTATTTGTGAGAAGGAGGATTTTAAAATCTATTCTTGATTTAACAGGAAGCCAGTGAAGAGAAGCCAGGATAGGAGAGATATGATCTTTTAATTTTCATCAGAACTCTGGCTGCAGCATTTTGGATCAGCTGAAGGCTTTTAACTTAAGTTTGTGGACTTCCTGATAGTAAAGAATTACAATAGTCCAGCCTTGAAGTGACAAATGCATGGACTAGTTTCTCAGCATCACCCCACAAGATATATATATATATTTTTATTTTTGCAATATTCCACAGATAAAAGAAAGAAATCAAGAAACCGCTTTCATATGGGAATTAAATGACAGGTCCTGATCAAAAATAACACCAATATTTTTTACTTTATTACCTGAAATCAGTTTAATCCCATCCAAATGAAGTGACTGACTAATCAGCTTCTTTTCAAGGACTCTGGTTCAAAGACTATAACTTTTGTTTTGACTGCATTCAGTCTCAGAAAGTTAAGAGTCATCCAGGTTTTTATGTCTTCAAGCAATGCCTGTAATCTATGTAATGTGTTAGCTTCATCTGGATTAATAGACACATATCATCAGCATAACAGTGGAAATTAACCCCATGCTGTCTAATAACTCCTCCAATTGGGAGCATAAATATACCAATGACTCCCAATTGGAAAGTTTATTAATCATCAGCAAGGGGATGATTACAAATACCTTTGTGTCTTTTCCAAAACCAGCTGTACTATTATCTTTAGTTTATTGCAGATTCGCTGTAGAAATCTGAGTTCTACAGTTTTACAAGATGGCAGAAAATTGGTTAAACTTCAAACTGAATATAGCTACTATGATATAGCTAAAATGTTTGTTTTGGGACATGGATGAACAAACTATATTGATCTAATTTCTAGTCACAATAAAACAGTTAATTTGAAAATTTTATTGAAAACCTAAAACCTACATGTGAGTGGGATAAATAATTAGAAGAAAAAAAATGTCAGTGACACACATTAACCGTTTTTTTTTGTTTTTTTTTTTTAACTAACAAAACTGTTGAAACCGAAGTTGTTGTTTTTTCGCACTACATTGGAAACTATTCAGAGGGTCAAAACTTTGAATTTGCCACGTCAGGAGTAAATTTCTATACCAACACGCCATCTAGTGGCCGATTTGAGAATTAAAAATGTCGGTTCTATGTTCGGCCTCAAGGTGGCAAAAAATATGTTCTATCTATCTATATTTATCTATCTATGTATATCTATCTATATTTATATCTATCTATCTATATCTATCTCTATCTATCTATCTATCTATATTTATATCTCTATCTATCTATCTCTCTATCTATCTATATTTATATCTCTATCTATCTATCTATATTTATATCTCTATCTATCCATCTATATTTATATCTTTATCTATCTATCTATCTTTATATCTATCTATATGTCTCTATCTATCTATCTATCTATCTTTATATCTATCTTTATCTATCTATCTATTTGTATCCATCCATCCAGCACAGGTGCCTTTTTAAAATCCAGCAAGTTTATTGCATATAATGTGAGCTCACTAAATGAGCAGTTTGACTTTATATGGATAAAGAGCTGTGTCCACTCTCTGACCCACAAATGTAGGAGGGATCTTTTATTGCCAACAATGAAAAGTACTCTTAAATAGCTAGATCCACAACAGAGACACTCCCACAGAAATACACACAGGGTCTTCAATGACCACTGAATGATGCTTTGGCCATAATTTTAACTTTTTTCTTTCTCCTTTTAAGAGCTTGTTTTTTTGTTTAAATAAGCTGAACAGATTCTATTTCCTTTAAAAAAAAGCTTTGAAGGTGGCGGTGGTCTCATGGCAATTATAATGTAATAATGTCTATAATATAAATAGAAAGGGTTTACTTGCCATCTATAAACACATTTTCTTTAATTATGAGGTCAATGTTAACCCAGCAAATCAAGCATAAGCTTGGGTGGTGCAGTGGTTAGCGCGTACGACCATGTACGTAGGCTTATGCCTTTGCTGCATGTATCTCCCTCTCTTGTGCCCCATTTCCTGTCAGACTACTGTACAATAACAAGCCACTAGTGATGCAAAAACCTAAACAAAAAAACGGATTCCTTGTTGAATTTATCATATAAACTAAACATCCCTGAAACACTTTCAGCTTCTGTGGGTCTAAAGATTTAACATGCTCCACCAGATCATTTACACTAAAACAGGAGAGAATACAGAATGTCCCTGTCAGAGCTTTTCCTTGTATGTCACTGAGGTCTATTTTTACAAAAATTTTGGCTAAGGGTTGTTTAAATTAACAGGGTGTTGTTCCAAGCCAAAGAGGAAGGATGAGGCCTGAAAAGACATAAACAGTGGAAAGAAGTTTGCAGCTGGTGTCCAGCAGACCAGACAGATAAATACACCCCTTTAGCCAGACACTTGTTACTGTTTCACAATCTTAATCTAAAGCATCTTCAGTGTACGGTGTAGCACATTATACTCAGAAGCACCCTGAGTAGTGATCGTACCATATTTGTCAAAATGACTGACAAACGAAGTCCAACGGTGTGTCATTTAAGTCATAATGCTACATAGATGGGGTTATAAAACAATATCCATCATTTTATTTAAGCTTCAGCGTGAGAAGGCAAGAGTGTGAATCAAAGAAGCAGTAAAGAGACCCATTGTCACTGAAGAATGCAGAATTATTTACCAAGTTTATTATCGGCCTTGAAAGCCAAAAATCTGGGTTTTATGGGAAAAGAAAAGCCATAAAAAAGTTGTGCTTGCAGTTTTGTCCCAAATCCTGTCTGGTGAGACTAAAATCTACCTTATTGGTTAACAGAAAAAAAAGAAAATATATATACAGCAGAAAACGTACACAGTTGACCACAACATTACTACACTGCGGCACGGCGGTGGCAGCTTTATCCTGCGGAAAGACTTTCATTTAGGAGGGACATGTTAAACAAAGGGCAATCCTGGTAGAAAATCTGGTAGATGTTGCAAAAGATGTCGGTATCAATAACTGTTGCTGGAACAAGACAAAATATAAACAAGTCAAAGTGTTTGAATACTTTTGCAAAGCATTGTGCAAAAAAAAAAAAAAAAAAAAAAAAGCAAACTTTTTGCAAGTAAAAATATAACAACATATTCTTTTTTGGAATTGGCAGCAGTTGTTTGCTTGCAGTATTTCCTAAAGACTTTTCACATATTTTGCCTCAAGTTACTTCATTTCACTAGAAAGCTCCTACTGATAACAAACATCCCAACCTATTTTTCAATGTACCAAGAGTTGAGGCTGAACGTTAAACAATAAGTCATTGTTTCCTCTACGAATCTCCAGAAGTAGTGGCAGATCGCTCTGCAGAGCTTTGTGGATGTCTTCAGTGGTGTGAACCGGCTGTCCATCTAGCTTCACTATAACATCACCCGGCTTGATGCCTCCACTGATAAAAAACAAAAGGACATAATTGTGATTATATATATTTCTACAATTATAGTTTCCAGTTTGCATTGCCTTTTTAATGTATTATTAACCTATAAATATTTGGTCACTTTGTCACATTACAACAACAAATCTATTTGCATTTTAAATATGATATTATGAAATCGTCCATTGATTATCCAGATAATTTAAAGTTTTTCCCTCAAACTATTACTCAATATTTTTGTTTCAATGGGCCGGATTTATCAAGATCCAATTTTGCGTGCAGTAATTTGCGCTCGCAAACTGGAATTTTGCGCGAGGGGCTGAACCATGGTTTGCAGGTGATTTAACAAGAGCGATTGCGTAACTGGTGGCAGGTGCAAAACTGTTGGAGACTCCCTATTTAAATGATGGTTTTGCGCGTTTTGTGGTTTGCGCCCAATATTGAATATTCATTGCAGAAAAAGTACTAAATGGATAAGAGGCGCTATTTAGCACGTTTTAAAGACCAAATCCTTTTAGCACGCTGTTGATAGATCAGTTTGTACATTTTTTAGCGTGCGCAGTGAAATAGCTCACGTTTTTATACACGCAAACCTTTGATAAATCCGGCCCAAAGTATGATTCATACCATATTAAGCATGTATAATTTTGCTCCTCTATAACGTGATGTATATATAATCCTAATAGATTACATTAGTTTGTAGTTCTAATGTGACAAAAGGTGGAAAGAGGCTCAAGAAATATGACCATGTTCCCATACACAGTAAAGCTAACTATTTTACACTTATTTCTCCCAAAGTATCTTGGGCTAATTTAACAATAAAGGTGTAGATCTTTTAAAGCAAGTTATAAAAACATGGTGCAGCATACCTCTCAGCTGGACTGTTAGGTACGACCTGTTGCACTAAAACACCACTGCTGACTTCAGGGAAGTCCGGATCTTGAAGTTTCAGCTCTCTCATTAAACTGGAGCACAGATACAATCCATCATAACTAAACAATCATCTTACCATGTCCTGTGGTGTTTATGTTTTGAACTCACACTTTGCTGATTGTCACCATCCTGATGCCTAAAAAGTATTTCTTCACTTCTAAAAGCAACCAACAATTATTGCATTTATTATATATGATCATAATATGTTTATCAGTAAAGCAGCATGAGCCTTTTTCACCTGTATCAGACTGAGGTTCCTCCTTGCGCCTCCTAAGCTGCTGGGTCTTTTCTGTCACATAGGCAAGAACAAGTGATTAACACATTGGTCAAAAAATAGTGAATAACTTTAGTTATTTCAAGAAATGACCCCTGCTCAACCTAATAGCCTTACCTTTGCTGTGTTTGATCTGTGACTCTGTGAGGAAGCGGCTGATCCTATCTGAGGGGATGGCGAAGGAGATCCCTGCTGTCACTTTTAGGGTGTTAATGCCTATGACCTCGCCATCCTGTAAGAAAATACACCTGAAGTACTGGACATGTGTCATGAATTATTCCCTGTTTCTTTAAGATTAAACATTTTCTTGTCAAAGTATAATATGGTCCAGATAAATATTTTTGCCTCTCTAAGTGTTTTTCGTTGGGCTAAATTTTATTTTTCCTCCTCTCTCTGTCCAGTGTCTGACCATCTTTTAAGAAGATGTACTTTGTTAATCCAGTTTACTTTGAACCATGGTTTACTCGCAAAAAAAACATGTTTAAAACTCAGGAAAAGGAGGCAGTTTTGTGTTCAACCATAAACCACAGCTTTACAAAAACAAGCACTGGAGAGAAAACCAAAACTTTTCTGAAGGTTAAAGGATCTTCAGAAACTCTTATATGGATTGGAGGGCGATGATGTGTTGAATGCAGGAGTTTGCCATGCCCTGTTTGAGGGTTCATGCCCCGGCCCTGGATTTTATTTTCGTTGTGTCCTTGGGCAAGACACTATCCTCTGCATTGTCTACTGATGGCGGTCAGAGGGCCCGCTGGAGCCAGTGTACGGGAACCTTGCTTCTGTCAGTGAGCCCCAGGGCAGCTGTGGCTACAATGTAGCTTGCCACCATCAGTGTGTGAGTGAATGGGTGAGTGACTGAATGAATGAATATAAAGCAGTTTCGTCAAGTCTCCTGACCTATAAGTACAGGCCATTAACCATTTATATGCTCTGACAAAATAAATGCAAGATACTGTATGTAAGAAAGTACATGACATTCAAAATGGATGCACAGAAATGGACAGACGTAAAAACATAGGTGCTCAAAAAAACATAAAAGAAATTTGATTGACTCTCCTAGTCATTTGCTGACAATAGTTTATGAGGAAAATTATGTTAATATCCTAGATATGAAAAAGCTACAGTGGGGGAAATAAGTATTTGACCCCTTGCTGATTTTGCAGGTTTGCCCACTTACAAAGAATGCAAGGATCTACAATTTTAATCATATGTACATTCTAACAGTGAAAGACAGAAACCCAAAGAAAATTCCAGAAATTCACATCATATTAATTTATAAAAATTGATAACCATCTGATGAGGAAAAACAAGTATTTGAACCCCTACCAAACAGTATGTTGATATTTTGTAGAAAAGCCATTATTGGCCAGCACAGATGTCAAACGGCTTTTATAGTTGGTGACTAGGTTTGTGCACATTTCGGCAGGGATGTTGGCCCACTCCTCCTTGCAGACAGTCTCCAAATCATTCAGGTTCCGAGGTTGTTGCCTGGCAACTCGAATTTTAAGCTCCCTCCAAAGTTTTCCAATTGGAATCAGGTCTGGAGACTGGCTAGGCCACACCAGAACCTTGATGTGTTTCTTCTTCAGCCACTCTTTTGTTGCTTTGGCGGTGTGCTTAGGGTCATTGTTGTGCTGAAACACCCATCCTCGACCCATCTTCAGCTCTCTCACTGAGGGAAGGAGATGTTGGTCCAGAATTCCACCATACATGGCCCCGTCCATCCTCCCCTCAATACGATGGAGTTGTCCTGTCCCCTTGGCTGAAAAGCACCCCCAAAGTATGATGTTGCCACCACCATGCTTGAAGGTGGGGATGGTGTTCTTTGGGTTGTACTCGGTGTTCTTTGCCCTCCAAACACGATGAGTTGAGTTGAGGCCAAAAAGTTCTATTTTGGTCTCATCTGACCACATCACCTTCTTCCAGGCCTCTTCTGAGTCGTCCAGGTGGTGAATGGTGAACTTCATGCGGGCCTGTACATGTTTCTTCTTGAGCAGGGGGACCTTGCGTACGCTGCAGGATTTCCATCCATGACGACGTAGTGTGTTACCAACCGTTCCTTTTGTAACTGTGGTCCCAGCTGCCTTCAGTTGATTCATCAGTTCCCCGCTTGTGGTTTTGCGATGATTCCTCACCGTTCACATAATCAGGGACACCCCACCAGGCGAGATCTTGTGTGGAGGCCCAGACCGAGGGAGGTTGGCGGTGGTGTGGTGCTTCTTCCATTTCCTGATAACTGCACCGACAGTTGATCTTTTCTCTCCAAGTTGCTTTCTGATTCTCTTGTAGACCATCCCAGCCTTGTGCAGATCAACAATCTTGTCCCTGATGTCCGTAGAAAGCTCTTTGGTCTTGCCCATGGTGGTGATGTTGGATGCTGGTTGTTTGGGTGTTGACAGGTGTCTTTTATACAGGTAATGAGGTGAGGCAGGTGTATTTGATGTAGATAATTGGTTGGGATTGGGGCTGTTTCTTAAAGAAAGACTAACTGGCTTGTAGGAGCCAGAATACTTGCCATTTGGTAGGGGGTCAAATACTTGTTTTTCCTCATCAGATGGTTATCAATTTTTATAAATTCATATGATGTGAATTTCTGGAATTTTCTTTGGGATTCTGTCTCTCACTGTTAGAATGTACATATGATTAAAATTGTAGATTGTTGCATTCTTTGTAAGTGGGCAAACCTGCAAAATCAGCAAGGGGTCAAATACTTATTTCCCCCACTGTACATACATTTACTCCTACGGAAATAAATATATAATAAAAACAGAAGGAACAATTGATCAAAAAGATACTAGGTATTTATGAGATGAATGTGCTCTTCAACAGGTTAAGTTGAACAGATTTCCAGTGTTGAGCTCTTAAACAGTTATACATGGGGAAAAGGAAGCATGGTAGTATGAGTAACAATAGATAAAGAAGCAGCACAAGTAATATCACAGTAACATTTAACATTCTAAAGATGATAAAAAAATATATTTTTCTTTGTGTATTTAAAATAGCATCAGAATTACATACACAATATCTAGAATATTATCTGCATAAAAAAACAACAGAATTTAGATCTAGTTGCTTATATAAATATGTTTAACACTCAAATGAATTGAAAGACTTTACCTAAATTATTTTAGCAAAAAGGCTTGTCACTTTAATTCGAGTTTTTCATTACTTTGAATGATTTAAATGTGAGAACTACCTCAAATAGGGTGCATAAAAATATAACTTACCAGGTTAACAAGAGGACCTCCAGAGTTGCCATACTTGTTTCAAGCATGATGGACGTAGAAAAGAACAAAAAAAACATAGCAACATTAAATTCTTGGTCATAATCAATATGAATGTAAAATGATTATAAAGTGAAGCCCAAAGTCGTTCATACATCTGGTAGATTCTGGTATAAAGTGATTGTTTAATTTGTCTAACATGTTTCCTTTGATTTAAGGTTATAATGTTCTGAAGTTGCCCAGCCTTAAATTGGACTTGAACCTTGGTTGAGAATTTGAAAAGGGAGCTATAGGTTAGGACGATGACAAGGAGGCCTTACAATCCCAAAGACTTTAAGCTTATCACTGAAGTTAACTCTAAACGATTGGATTATTGAACAATGCATTCGCTGAGGTGTGTGTTTGTGTGCTCACATTGATAATGGCATCAGTCTGGATGTAGTCCATGTCCGAGTCCTTGATGCCCAGCTCTTTACCATCTCTCTGAGCAGTGCTGACGATGCCTGTAGTCACCGTGTTCTGCAGGGCGAAGGGGCTGCCGATGGCCACGACAAACTCCCCTGGTCTCAGGTTAGCTGAACTGCCCAAAGAGAGCACCTGGAGCTTCTTCTGTTTTCCAAAGGAGAGCGAGATAGAGGAAAAAAAAAACTAAAAGAGTGAAAAATGCAAGTGCCAGAAAAACATTGTGGTCAGGAAGTCAGGGAAAAAAAAAAAAAAAAAAAGAAAGAATCCTTCTAGAGATGAGGAGAGAAAGGGAAACACTTTCATGCAAGCAAAACAGCCAAAGTATTTGGGATGTGGGTGTGAGAATACACACATTAGTGCTGGAGCATGACTCAGTGTTTACCAAAGCATTTCCGCTAACTTTCTGAAAGCCTCGCAGGCATATCTGTTATGTAGCTGGGTTAGAATTTTCATGCTAGCTCGATAAACAATCGCAGAGGTAAATGAATAGACCAGAAGCCATCCACACCATCCCGCTTACCTGTGGATTGATCTTGATTGTAGCTATGTCCGCCTTCCTGTCTACATTTCTCACTGCAGCCTCATAAGCATCTCCATCGTGGAGTTGGACTCGCAGCTGCGGCCTCCCGATCACTGAGCCAGTAGTGGTAACCACGTGAGCGTTGGTCACGATCATACCCGAGTGAGTCACGATGAAACCAGACCCGCTGGACAGACGCACATGGCGGCCAAACAGGGGATGACTGCAAAGGGGAAACAGAAGGAAAAAGGTTTTCTCATTTTATCTTCTGATTTTATATTTGAATGGTGCTGCAGGTAGTGAAGCTAACAACATTTCAACATCAGGAAGAAAGCAGTACCCTGGAAAGCTCAAATTTATCTGTATGGAACATTTGGTTAAACATCGAGATTTGCTTTAAATCTACTCTAAGATTTCCCACCTTACAAACAGTTCGATGTGGACGACCGCAGGGACTATTTTCTCCACGACATCTGCGATGAAGTTGAACTTGTACCGAGGGCTGCCGGAACGGGTTAGAGAACGACCTGAGAAAACAAGCTGCATTATACACAGAAAAGGCTGCAACGCAAACCCCAACTTCTACATTTTATCACTTCTTTTGGCTCTTGGGGACCGATCTATTGCTGTGCTGGGCTGGGGTTGTTACATATTAGATTAAAATATATCCATGTCCTTCATTATCCCTGTCAAAGTCTTAAAACTTGAGAAACTATGTTCACAGATGCTCCTCAACCATGCTGATCATATTTTAACTGTTTTGCAAAGATTTTGTGGCATAATTTTCACTATCTAGATGTGCAACGCGGGTGGAGAAATACCCAAAAAGCTTTCAGCTGGAACCAAACACTATCTACTGACTCAGGCGGAATGAATACAAATGCATGCCACACTTTTCAGATAGTTACTAGAAGAAAGTATACAAAGACATTGGTCCCTGTGGCCTAACATGACTGTTAGGTTAATATGCAGCTTGCAATTGTCCTTAGGTGTGAGTGTGTGTGCATGGTTGTGTGTCTCTGCGTTGCCCTGCGGCAAACTGGTGACCTCAACTTTTGCAAATAAACTGCTGGAGATAGGGACCACTGTGACCCTGAGTGATGAAGTAGGAGAAGTTTTAATTATAGAAACTTCACCAATTGGACGTTGAATCTAATTTGGTGATGAAGGACTTTTGCTGTTCTATTATAAAATCAGTATTTTGAGAAAAGAAAAAAAAAACACATCTGTGAGAGTGATCAACACATGTGGTGGTAAGGGTGCTCTTCATTACAGTCACGTTTCTAATTTCCATCTTTTGAAATCTCTGAAAATGATTAAAAGCACTTAATAGTTTTAATTACAAATTAAGACAGATATGCAGCTGCTCTCCAACCTCATGTTACACCAAGCCCTTTGTACTCAGTCAACCTGTGAAATTCTTCCAGAAATCTTTAAATTTATCAGGATGTAATTCCTGTTTGGAACTTTTCTGCCATGCTTTACAATATTATCGTCCTTTATAGCCCATGCTTTACATATTCTGGGTTATTTGAGACATACCCTGCATGATTTAACCATATTCTACACATATTACAGCAGAATGAGTCCTTGGTTACTTACTCCCTGCATCTCCCTCCTCACTGCGCGCAGCAGATTGGGCACAAAACCGGGAAAGTCAAATATTTTTTTGCACAATAGCAGTGATTTCAAACAGTTTTTGGCCTCATCATATAACTAATGTAAACAATAATAATAATAAAAACATTCTACAACATTGGTTGTACACTTCAAATAGCTTCAGAAAAAGAGACACCTTTTAAGAGTCAAATACCTTCTTTGCATCTGTCACTTTTCACTCCACAATTTTTCTGTCAAATACTTTTAATGATTGCATTACAGTTAATATGAATCAATAACACAGTTGCACTGTTTGTAAAAGACAAATTATTATTATGTTTTTTTTATTTAATATCAGATGTCCCAGCAGGTCCTACCTGCACCCAGAGCTGAGCAGGGTCCTTTGTGCGCCTGGCTCACCGCGGTTCTCCCTTTCAGCGCGGCTCTTCTATTGGCCGCTTTCAGCTTACAAACGCTGCTGTAGGTTTTCCCATCGCTGCCGCAGACCTCATGGTCCTGCTTGCACCGGCAGACCCCCCTGGAGGCGCCACGCCGCTTTTCTGCAGCAGCGACCGAGCGCGCCGTGCACTCCAAGCCGTCCCCGCACGGTAAGTCGTTCTTGCGGCCGCAGGGGTCCCCCTCTCTCGGTGAGCACACCAGGCAGCAGCCGCACCTGTCCGGGACGTAACCACCGGGACAGCTGGGGCTGGGACAGGAGCTCACGTCGCACCTGGAGGCGCATTTATCCGAGCGCGCAACTTTGGGGAGGCCGTGCGTAATAGAGATAAACACGGCTGCCAGTGAGAAAAAATGCATTATAACGCAAAACAAGAGATCGGACGGAAGGATCTCAGTTTATATTGTCATGTTAGTTTTGTTCAACCAAAAGAAAATGAAAAAAATACATAAATATTACAAGTCAGCATCTAGTTCCCTTTGCTCGCCAAGAAGCTGAAGTTTGACTGAAGTCATGTCTAGGTCTATATGAAGCTCCAAAAGCTCATGGTCAGTCATCCGTGCCAGCATAGCCTATATTTTCACTGCTGTGGTTTTTTTCTGAGTTTTTCTTCCCAGAAACAGATATTAGGATTGGATTATAGCACCATCTAGTGGACACCAAACACACCAGCAGTTTCACATGTCCAGAAAGCCTCCTACACAGCGGGCATGGTTACATTAACATTAGAGAAGTAAAAGTTCAGGGCAAAAGTTCATCATTTTACACATTAAGAACCCTTTGGAATTTTTAAATCATAGGTAACGGAAAACTGCAAATTTGGTTGCAGTTTCTGTTCCAATGCTTATCTTAAATTATTTATCATTAATTTATTTCTGAGGGGTCTGGCTGCAGACCTGCACTGTCAAGACCCTTCACCTGCATAATGCACTGTCAGGACGTTTTATTCGAAGCCTTCAGGAATAGCACTGAGCATATGATTTATTAGAAGACATCATTTTTTGCGTGGTGATTTCTCACTTAAATGTGCCTTTTCAATTCTTTTCCCCCCACTTAAAGACTAAGAAAACAGTGTTTTATCATAATATTTGTTCTTGTTCCTTTCTTTTCTAAAGTTGCTCAGATAGATTAAAATCAATAGACTGAAATGACCCAAGTTTTATTATTTATTGTTTGTTAAATATTCAACTATCATACAATCATTAAATTGGAATAAAAATGTCAAGATTCATACATAAGAAAACACAACAGCATCGAGCATGAAGAGAAACATTGTCTTAAATGTCTTCTTTTTGTAAAAGAATATTTTACAAAGAGGAATTGTTATCCCTCAATGCAGGCGGTTCAAGAGAAAGCTGGCAGCAGTTAAACACATGCCAAACCACAAATACATTCATTGTTCTGAGAGCAATCTCTTGTACTGAAATGTTTCGGAGATAGGATCTGTGTGTAAACCGTAAACAGAATACATTCAAGCCATGTCCCCCCCCCCCCGCCCCAACCTCAGGCCACTCCTCTAAATTCAAGTTTAATCATAAGTCTAAGCTTGAGGCTTCCTTATAATTCTTCAAAACAAAAACATTTGGCAGTACGTAGGTTTAAAGACACTGTCAAGATTGTAGTTTTAGAAAATAAATAAAGGTTACAGTGGGCTTTGACCCATTTGAGTGTATGAGCTAGAATACTTCTAGCAGTGAAGGTGTACGTGTGTTTTACACAAAGTATTCATCCAAGGAAAAGGAAGTACTTTGGAGTTTTAATCCAGGTAAGGACAAGTCCCAAACTGCAGTAGAAATCCCTTTATGGAGAGCTGCAAACCAGTTCCTTAGATTAACCCAAACTTTTAAACTGCTAATACAAGTGGACTTTTTTGGCAATTACTCCCCTAAGACCTGGTTTCAAACTTCAGTAGATACTTTGAGAGAATTTCTGGAAAGAAAGGAAAAAAAAAAAAAAAGGAAAAATGTAGCTTTCCAAACAATGAACAAAGCCTCCATTGTGAAAAATCTGATTATTAAAAAACCCAAATGACCTTAGGGTTTTTCTGACAGGAAATCAAGGTATGCTAATCTCTCCATGTTACACTTTTTGCTAAACTCCTTTCACAAAATTAAAAGTAAACAGCATAAACTCTGCTTCCCTTCAAACATTTATTTGATGTACTTTCTGCTTGCTGGCTCTGCTTCTTATCCTCTGATAGTCTGCCCTCCTCCCTCTTTAAGGAATGATGTTGGAACAGAGCAACAAACTTTCTAGAAGTCTTTCTAGTTTTCCTTCTTAGGCTTTTAGTTCTACCAAGAGGAAAAAAACGGTCTTTTGCAGTGGAAGGTTTGTGTGAATGCGTTGCCGAGCGTAACAACCCGTCCTTGGCCGCCTGAGCGGCTGCGCTCCACCACAACACGAGGCATCTGCACCAGCTGGATGGGGCTCTTGCCATCTTTAAGTGCCTGAGTCAGATTCAACACCTGGAAGGAGAATAAAACTGGATTGAAGCATCAACAACAAACAGCTCACTGTGAACCCAAAACAAACAAAAAAAAAAGATAAATATCTGCTGCTTCACAGCCCATCCCCTTTGCATGCATCCACGTTCCTTTTAACAAACTAAACTGCTGGAATACTTGGTTTAGTAAAAAAAAAAAACTATTCAAACTAATTCTAAAATGAGAAACAAGAAAATGCATCAGTGAAGTTAACATATGCACTTTCTCCCTTTTCAATGCAATTCTTTAACAAATGAAGTTGTAAGAGTTGGCTGCCTTTAGAGTGTTGAAGTGGAGCTTAAAAACATCTGGGTCAAATATTAATGTTGTTTAGTGTTTGTTGCCTTCCTCCTAAAAGACTGATTATTTTAGAACATGTGTAAAGAAATGCATCATTATTGTCTGCAACTTTGTAGCATAATTAATATTTTATCCAGCCAAAAGGAAAAAAACAAAAAAAAAAGACAAAAATAAGGATGGAACAGTTTTGGTTGTGCATCCTGGAGGTACGTATATTTATGTAACACGCACTGTATGATATTGGGCCAAAACAAGCCAACATGTTGGATTTCCTGGAATTGCGATCGGAGCAGTTGCAACGTTTTACAGAGAAACTCCATATCAGTGTAAACATGCAAACCTGAGAGGTGGCCATGTGAACCAGCATGGACTTTTTGTCATAAGAAAAAAAAAAAAAGAGAGAATAGAGAGGTCAGAAAACCAAGATAGTTGTTGTCTTATTTATCTGATAATAAGTTGATGCCAGGGTTTGAAAGCAGAGGGATTTGCTAACCATTGTGTTTTCTGACATGTAGTAAACACTGTTAAAATGCAAAACATAATATCTTTCCCTCAATTCTGCGTCAAATACATATCAGATTGTTGTGTTTGTTCCACTGGTTTAAATTTTAAAAGGTGCAGAGATAATGATGTTTCCTGCAACTCTTACTACATTTAATAAGAACAGATTTTTTTTGCTCAGAGCTCTGACATATAGACTCCTGGGAATCCATTATAAAAGCAAACAGGCAAAAAAAGAAAAACAGTAGCAGGTAAACCAGCGGAGGTATAAATATTCATCCTTGATCGAGGAATAAACTCACCTGTCCTCTCATGACAGACATCTGTCTCTCAAACATGGTTTTATCAAAACCTTTATCTGCCTGAAACCAGAAAAAAAGATCACTAACATTAGCATGTATGCTGTGGAATGAATACACACATCAGCTTTGTGCTGAAACATGTTTGATTTCTACCTTGAACATCTCATAGAGGTCCTCACAGAGGTCCTGGACGAAGTTCATGTCAGAGAGGCGGGACAGTACCAGGTCTCTGGTCTCCTGGGAGAAGGGCACCTTGGCCTGGGGAAGCCATGCCCAGTGGAAGGGGTCTAAAAGAAGAGCACAACCGCCAGGTTTATTCAATTCTGCACAACCCAGCTGGTGTTTTATATAGTGAATTAACATTATGAACAAAATATGAACAAAAGTCCCCCTTTGTCTTGAGTAAAAGTACATTTCTGATTACAAGTAGCAAGTTAGGGGTAAGTGGATAGTAAACAAAATGTCAAGCAGCTCATCTGTCAGGTTTCCCTATTTTTCCTTGAATTTCTTTAACAAAGTTATCATCAACATAAAGCGTTACATAAGTTTCAAACATACATGCTCTCCACTCATCTGGGTGTTTAAAGGGGAAGGCCAGGCCATTGTCGATGGCTGCTATCTTGATGCAGGAATCATTCCCCGACCACTCAGCATCCTGAAATGCAAACAACAGCATCTTCAATAATCATTTTTTAAGTATTATAAATGCTGATTAGACAAATTATACACATTAATCATCATGACTGATAATGACCCATATTAGCTTTAATCTGGCTTTAACAGCCTTCCATGGTAAAGCATTGCTAACATTATATTCAGCTTATTTATATAGCGCCATTCACGTCACATTATCTCAAGGCACTTTACAGGGACAAATTTAACCAGATCATACAGTCAGATTGGTTCAAGGTTTTCTATTTTAGGAAAACCAGCTAACTGCATCGACTCATTGACTTGAAGGCAATCCCTCATACCCAGCATGCTTGCAGTGTCAGTGCAGCGGACAATAGAGCCTACCTTCTCGCTTTCATCTACCTCTCCTGGCTGCTCATACTTGATCAACCAGTTGTCATTTCCACGATCTGAACAGAAAGAAAACAGAATAACACACGTTTGGATTGCATAAGTGCTTAAGGAACATAGAGACAACCATTTACAGGTGAGAAGGTGTAAGGTGCCAACGAAATTCAAGCAACTTGCAGGGTTGGTAAACTTTTTGAGAGCATTTCTAGTAGATAAAACAACACATTCTTTAATGCCTCAAGCCAAACTCTCTCACCTGTGTTTCTGATGACATAATCCAACACAACCAGTCTCTCAAACTGGGACTGCAGCTGTTTCCTGATGTTCTCCGGCAGAGGTTCCGCCTCAAAGCGCCGCAGCCAGTAGTCGGCTTCGCGGTAACCTTCAACAAACAGCTGAAAGGAGCCCACCTGGAAAAGAAGAAAAAAAAAAAAAAAAAGGAAGCATGTGACTTTTTTTTTATGTGTAACAAAACAAACAACATGTTTGAGTACACAACAGCTTTTAAAAGCAGGAAGTTCACCGATGTAATAAGTTGGGAGGTAGTGATGCAACGGGTGAACTTTTAAAACCGTTGCAAAGAATGGAAACAAAATGTTCCTTTACTGCAAACATTTTCACAATAAATTCAAAACTTAGGGGAAGCCCTCAGGTGCAAGAATGTCTGAGTTGATCAATGCAAAACATGAAACTGTAATTTAAAATGGTTAGTTCTCAAATGTAAGCAGCCTTAACAATATTTGATGATCCTACCCTGCTGATAACTGATGTGATTAGCGCCAAAAGCCCAACAAGGAAACCATAACCGGTGTGTTTATTTACTTTTTTTCATAAAGGCTGATATAAAAAAAATATATATATATAATAATAACTACA